TATATATATATATATATAAAATATATCCATATAATGAGGATGAATAAAACAGAAATGAGAATGAAATGCTCTTTTTGCACTCCTCTTAATGCAGGATCTGAGGACACCTCCTGATGCTGAAAGCCTGAATTCTCAGGGGATAAAAGGAGCTCAAATTAACCTCCAGCCAGGGGATATTCCTGAGATCAGGGACTTTGAGAGAGTCCCAGGTGGACAGGGAACTGCTGTGGCTGAGAACACCCAAAGTCATGGTAGGATTCAAAAATAAAGAAATAAAAAATTTGCTCTGGACTAACTGAATTTGAGGAGCGATCAAAATTCTGCAATTCATCCACATGGAGTGACCAGAATTTGAGTTGCCAAATTCTCCAAAATTTAGAGCCAGGAAATTCCTCCTTTGGGCTCATCCTCATTTTATTTTATTTTTTTTTTTTTTACTGAATTTTACACACACCCAGTGTGGGCACTGCTGGCGTTGCTCCTGAGCTGCTCCAGCTCCGTGGTCACAAAGGTTTATAAAAACAGGTTTATAAACAGCACAGTTTAAAGCCTCTGATCCCCACAGCTTGGAAAGCCTTCCCTCCTCAGAGATTCTCAGGATAAAGAGGATTTTAAAAATACATAAATTTCAAAATATGGAATTTTAAAGCTCCTTTTGAGCTTACCAATAAATTCATTAAAAATTCCTAAGTCTTTGCTGTTAAGAAAGCACCAGTGGGGATTAATTACTGTGCTCTCTTCTTGTTCCAAGAGCCTTCCCAGTTTTGCCAAGGTTTGCACTTTTCATGTCATAAACTCCAGACACCCCCGTTGTAACATCATTCCCGTGCTACCCAAATTCCAGCCTGTTCCTGCAAAGTGTTGGATTTTGGAGGGTAGGAAGGGCAGGTTGCTCAGCTCTTCATTCTGGCCCTGAAATGTGACATCAAAATCAACTTTAATATGTTTATAAAGTGATTGTGCCTGCTGGGAATGCTCTGTGGGAAAAAAAAAAAAAATCCCCAAATATTTGGGCTGTTCCTTGGATTCAGCAAAGGAATTTTGAAGCATCCTAAGAGCAAATCTGGAGGGAATGCTAAAATTGTCCCTGGAATTCCCTCTGGCTGCAGGATCCCCACAGTGACCTCCTGGGCTGCTCTGTGTTTTCACAGCTTCCCAAATCCCCAA